ACTCATATATATATATATATATATACATACACATATATATATATACATACATACATACATATACATATATATGATTATATAAATACAAGAAACAGAAAAGAAAAAAACCAAATGGGAAATTAAATGAGATTTTTGAAGGATTGTAAGGAAAGTGAATATTGCTACGAAGGTCTGATGATAGATTATTCCATAATTTAACAGAACGATATTTAAATGTTCTTTTTCCAAAATCATTTCGCCATTGTGGTAAGACTAAAGTGTTTTTCAATTTACTTCTTGTGTATACCTTAATATTTTAAAGAAGCTAGTGTCCTTGAGCAAGACACTTTTTCTACATTGCTTCAGTTTACGCAGCTGTATTATCGGGTACCCGAAAATTACTGGGAGTAAACGGTACACCAACGTCCCAGCCAGGGGTAGCATGCTCTCATCCGCTTAACACTACTTGAACTTGGGATAAACTCCAGCCCATATGGGCCCCGTGGCTCTGCAAGGATTCACTACTTAAGTATAATAGTATAATAACTATTTAAAAATTTATACTCATGTTACCTCAGATGATACCTCTGATCAACTTTGGAGTTTAGAGAAGATGCAGGCATATTTTACATTGGTAACATCTGTGGAGCCTACTATGACAGAAGATGCAACAATGTGAGTAGAATTATTTCAGAAGTAAATATGAAAAAAGCTGTTAGACTTAAAACAATATCACAGAAAAGATATAAGATATGTAAATATGTATTATTAGTTTAATTTTTCACTCAGACTTGAGTTGTGAACCCTCATTGAGGGCTTCAAAGTGCTGGTAAACAAAGCGGTGAAGTGGGTTTTTTTCTGCTTAATTTTTCCTGGTTGTTGGACATTTCATGGGATAATTTCCATGCTTCAAGTTACAGTTTTTTCATGCTTCATCTCCAGCATCTTGAGCACTTTTTTGAATGTTTAAAAAGGGGTGGGGGTGGGTGGAATAATGGGTGGTTAAGCCCCTTTTCCCCTAGATTTTAAATATTTAAGAATCTGTACCTCATTAATTTTCCCCCAGCTTGTTGGAATATTGATATAATAACATGGCTGTATCTGATTGATAATTATAGGATTATGTACGTTGGTATTAAAAATATACCATCATGAATGCAAGTGTATAATATAAATAATAGTGTGTTATCAAGATATTATCAAGCTCAACGCAAGGCAGATCAACGAAATGCGGCACGTACAACGATACGTTTATTGGAGAGTATGGTTCGTTTGTCACAAGCTCACGCCAGGCTTATGTATCGAGATGAAGTGCGAGTTTGCGATGCAGTCGTGGCCGTCAGTGTGATGGAGTCGAGCATGTATGGGGCTGCATTACTGGGAGGAATCAATTCATTGCATACATCCTTCCCAGAAGACCCAGAACAAGAATACAAGGTGCAGGGTAAGTTTTGTAGTACAGTAGAACCTCAATTTTACGTACGGTACGGGACCGGAGGGCGTATGTAAATCAGGGGATTCGTAAAATAGAGGTTGGGTTAAATTTGTGGTAACCTTTGACCTAATTCGTACGTAACGCTCAATACGTATGTATGAACGAATGATGTTACCTAGGCTAGACCTTGCCTCTAGGCCTACGAATAGAACCATGTGTAGTGTTTTTATTCATCACTTTACGATGTCATAATAAAGGTATAACTAGGGAATTCCCCTTCATGCCTATTCTAAACAACAGAGCTGTGGTGTTGTCTGGGATTGTTGAGACAAACTAAAACCATGTGCGCTGCACTGGGCCAGACGAGTTTTTCCATGGTTTGCCACACGAAGCTAAGGAGGAAAGCAATTATTTTGAGCACTATCGGTAGTTGTTCATCTCACTCAGTTCACACATGGTTTTAGATTATAACAACCCAGTATTAGACTCAATCAACATTGCTGTTTAATGAAAATATGTTGCATTATGGTTTGTTTTAAATTGTTATAGTTTATTGTTATAGTCTTTTTACTTATGGTTGCTCTGAAAAGGGCCGTTTGTTTTGAATATTTTCGGGGTCTTTGATGACGTCATTGTCGATATGAGGTGTATGTATAACCGAGGGTTCGTATAATTGGGGTACTTAAAAACGAGGTTCTACTGTAATTTTAATTGTAAAATTTAAAATAAATTTAATTAAAATTGTAGTAATGTTGGTAGCACCCTCTAGAGCCCTACTTCTCAAACTATGGTTTGGCACCTAAATTTGGGTCACCAAAACATTTCCAATGGTTATGAGACTGCTTCAGACTTTAAAAAAAGACAGTCTTTGGTAAAGCACATTTCAAAACATAGTAGAAAATACTTCTACATAGCCATTCTACAAAGAACTCAAATCGAAAGATTCACCCACAAGTCGTAGCTATAAAGACTAAGGGTTAAAATTCATTGTCAACCCAAAACCTAGAGTCTACTCTCGTGGTTACACTGTTGCCAATCTCTTCGGGGATTGATAAGATCATTAAAATCAGGCAGGAACATAGTTTATGAAAAATGATTAGTTGCTTCTTTTTGTAAGGGTTGGGGACGTACAAAATACAATTATTATTACCCAGTCAACCTCGCCATACTATATAATGGAACATTCCGCACATGGATGTTGATAACAAAACATCTTGGAGTAAATATAAATTTTTTTTTAATTATTCCAGCCACGATGTATTTGACTTAGCCGAGGTTAAATTTATTTGATGATATATGCTTTGGGTCGCCAAAAAACAAAGAGTCTAAAAGAAGCAGGGCTGTAGAGTACACATATTCGCACTTCAATATATATATATGGCATTTCTAGGTTTTAGCATCTAATTATTTGAATTTTTTCTTATCAATGAATCTATGTTTCTTACTAATACTACATTTTTAGGATGGAGTTTTGCGCTGAAGTATTACATTATCAATGTTCACTTTGGAAAAGCATTCATGATTGGATTGCTTGTACCTGCTAATGAACAAAAGATATTTAGATAATAATCCCAACAGCACCCTCTAGTGTCCAAAATGTGTAAAAAAAACTTAATTTTTGTACCAATATAGAGAAATTGAAACAATCTAATTATGAAAATATCTTTATTGAAAATAAAAAAAATAAAATTGTGTTTTAAAATTCATTAAAATTTACTTGCCAGAAAGTACAGTACTAAATATAGAGGTTAGCTGGTAGTGTATATAGTTAAAGTTTGTGAAAATCATCTTCCTTTGATCTTTCAGCTGAGATGATCTTGACGCATTTAGAGCTGCATGACATCTTATCTGTAGAGATGGAACGACTCTCACGCCAAGAATCTGAAGGAAAAGAATGTTTGTTGCGAAAAAATGAAAGCATTCTGGAACAAAAAGCTATAAGCATACTTGATAACAGCAACGAACACGAAAGCATGCAGGAACAAGGTACAGTGAACTTACTTGATAACAGCAACNNNGTTATTTCTCAGTACAATTCGCAATGCTCTTTTTTGGACAGACTCAATTTTATATAATTTTTTTAATTCCCCAATGCCACACAGGGCAAAAAAACTCCAGGATAGGTCTATGTAATATGTAAGCACAAATTAAGTCATTCAAGGGTGCGCCCAACCCTCTCATTATTAATAGAGCAAACATCCTTCGAGATGCTTTTAGAAACAATCTCAGAGACATGAATGTCCCATTTCCTGTCTCTTATACACATCTAGATGTGTATAAGAGACAGAATATATATGGCATTTCTTGGTTTTAGCATCTAATTATTTGAATTTTTTCTTATCAATGAATCTATGTTTCTTACTAATACTACATTTTTAGGATGGAGTTTTGCGCTGAAGTATTACATTATCAATGTTCACTTTGGAAAAGCATTCATGATTGGATTGCTTGTACCTGCTAATGAACAAAAATATTTAGATAATAATCCCAACAGCACCCTCTAGTGTCCAAAATGTGTAAAAAACTTAATTTTTGTACCAATATAGAGAAATTGAAACAATCTAATTATGAAAATATCTTTATTGAAAATAAAAAAAATAAAATTGTGTTTTAAAAGTTCATTAAAATTTACTTGCCAGAAAGTACAGTACTAAATATAGAGGTTAGCTGGTAGTGTTTATAGTTAAAGTTTGTGAAAATCATCTTCCTTTGATCTTTCAGCTGAGATGATCTTGACGCATTTAGAGCTGCATGACATCTTATCTGTAGAGATGGAACGACTCTCACGCCAAGAATCTGAAGGAAAAGAATGTTTGTTGCGAAAAAATGAAAGCATTCTGGAACAAAAAGCTATAAGCATACTTGATAACAGCAACGAACACGAAAGCATGCAGGAACAAGGTACAGTGAACTTACTTGATAACAGCAACGTTAATGAAAGTATACAGGACCAAGACACGGTAAACTTATTTGATACCAGTGAAGAAAATGAATTTAATGAATCCTTACGCAGTTCACATGATCGTTCAGACATTGGAAGTGCAGAACACAAAAAAAGACTGATAGATACAGATGGAAATAAAGAGGACAACGTTCTGGTAACTGTTACCAATGAAAACTCATTACGTAAATGTCAAAAGGATTCCATCGAAAATGATGCACAAAAGGATTCCACCGAAAATGATGCATGTGATTGCCCTACTGATGGCACAGATGATTTTCTTGCAAACGATGATTTTTCTTGACAAGTCAAGATAAAAATTCAGCCCATAATGTTGGTGATAAGACGTCACATGATTCAAACGGCATGATTCAGAAAACTGAATGCATTCAGTTTTAGTAACTCATCTAAATGTAATTCTGAAGGTCCTCAAAACAAGAAACAAAATGCAAAATCCTTTAGCAAACCAAAACCAAAAAATCATTCTCCATCCTCATCCCAAATATTCACAACTGACGACTGCCTTGATGAATTAGATTTAAGTGATTTATGAAACAACTAATATATAAATTAGGTATGCTGCGCATCACCATAAATGCAAAATACAGTTACATGTACATAACATGTTAATCATATCAAGCATAGCTCTTCAATAAAAAGTCCCTGTTTCAGTTGTACCAAAGAAAGTGTCTCTGGCAGAATTTGAGCTTGCAACCAAGCAGTGACTTCTGTGTTACATCATCTCTGTATAGCAAACATCTTAGTAAGGGCCAAATCTATGAAATGCAAGATTGCATGCACTGTCCACTTTTTTGTACCTTTGGGTGATCTCTTAAGATACAGGTGTGATCTTTACACCTTTGCATAAACCTGTATTTGGCAAGTAAGTCTTGGGCTAGCATTAAGTCATCTTCCAGCATTTCCAGAATTGGTAAGTAATGGATATTGATCAACAGTTTAATTGTATTAACCATGTCCCAAAGTATTAGTTATACAAATGGTCAACTAATCATTTATTTAATGTTATTTTGATAGTTATTTCTATTAAACAATGTATGCACAAATAACTTTGGAAGGCCATTACTCAAAATCGTGTTTATCTTGACTCTAAGATTGCTGTACTTTCACTTTCCAATAACTTAGGATTGAAATGTCCCATTTCAATGAATAACTCCTTATTTTAAAGATTACATACTATATACGTATATGAAAATACCAATAATTCCAATTTTTGCTACAACTTAGCCATTTTGCCACACATGCCTCTTCGAGGGTTTAGATGGTCATATAGGTTGTGTCTGGATTGTACTTGCACCACCTTATGTTTAGAGTTAGACCTTCGATGTTAGTTTAGGCTAACTTTGTATAATAAATTATAAACATTAAGTTTATCTTTATACTGGTTGCAGTAGAAGTTCTACAGGAATTGAACCCAGGACCCTGGGATTGGAAGGTAATTCTTACGGTAAAGCAAGCTACAGCTGGTTGCCTGTAAACTACTTTCATAAACATCTCTTACTAGTCTGTTTAAATCTGCAGCCAGCATTAACTCATCTTTCAACGTTCCCAGAATTGGTAAGTGATGGATAGATATATTTACAGAGGTCCTTATTACTTGGAGACATCTTACTTTCAGACTGGAAACGGGTTGTACTAACATCACTTCTTCAAACTCTTGTCCTTCAGCTAATGCTTTGGGATAATACACTTGCTCTTCCATCCTGCAGTTAGATGATTTCCTAAGATCCATGTGTGATCATACGGGTCTGAATTACACAACTTGCATTTGGAAAGATTTCATATATTCTCCATGTAGGTTCCCTAACAAAGTTCATCCAGATGAATTTAACAGTTCTTGGAGATTAATTTGTAAACTTGACATATGTTGGTATTTCTATCTGGAGCCAGCACAGCTTTCCGTATCTTCTTTCAACTTCCTCAGAATTGGTAATGATGTATATTTTCTCTGTACAAAGGTCCTTATTACTTGAAGCCATCTTTACTTTCAGACTGGTAGCACCAACATCACTTCTTCAAAGTCTTAGCTAATGTTAGAGATACTTAATGTTTGAGATACTTCACTTCTCTTGCTCTTCCGTTCTCCAGTTAGATGATTCTTTACAATTCACGGGTGATCCAGACGTGTGTGAACTACACAACTTTTATTTTGCTCAATTCAATTTTTCGAATCGTACTTTCTCCATGTAGGTTCCCCAACAAAGTTCATCCAGATAAATCAAATAGTTCTTGGTAATTGATTTGTAAACTTGACGCAGGTTGGTATTTCTGTCTTCTTGCTTTTTATCCTTGACTAGTATGAGAAAATAAAGTTGGTGGGGGTTTGGCTCAATCATAGGAAACAAGTATTGAGATACTCCTGTAGCATATGTAAAATCCATAATTCATCATAATCTGCCTAGCGGCCGTTCAAGGTCGTGAAAATTGCAGTCTCAACTACACGTCAATTTAGGTACAGATCATCAATTGAGTTATTAAATCAGTGTATATTATAAAGTCTTCATGACAATTATGAATGGAGTCATTAGTAACCACAAAAAAGACATCAAAACCTTCATGATGTGCAATCCTGAATTTCTGATGCCGTGATAGGTGCACCCACATGCTCAGTTTCTTGGCGAAACATCCTCCCCTACAATGCAAGGAATATGCATCAACATTTTCAATATTTACTCGTACCCTTTAACAGGACAGATAACTTTCAACTTAGTTAGCTGACGTGTATAATTACCATTTGCTGTTTTCAGCATTATTGCATTACACACATCTTTTCCCAGGATAGACATCTCTTTACCACAAATTCTACCCATTTGTGCTTGTTCTTTGTTTCCCGGAATGGATCTTGAGGAACAAGACTTGATGATCGTCTCAGCAGGATGTCATTTGTACAAATATATGAGCCGTTTACAGGGCCATTTAACTTTCTTCTGATTGGTCTCTTGTTGACCAAGTTTGCAACCTCCTGAAAATAAGTATAAAGCTCAAATGAAGTTAGTCGTTGATAACCTACTGCTTTTTTCAATGCACGTTTACAGCTCTTGATAAGTGCTTCTGCACAACTGTTATGGTGCGATGGTAGTGGAATTGTGAATCTCCAGTTGATTTGTTCCTCAGCGCAATACTCTTTTAACTGATCCTTGTTCCATCCAGCTACCATTTCCCTAAGCTCTAAACATAGAATCATCTAAAAACTTAGATGAATTTTTTGTGCTTAGCAGTCTACTGCTATCTCAAATGTACGGCACAGGTTACCAAACACTGACAGGTGAAAATAACTCCATAATGCTTGGCTGTTTCTTTTCGTCGGATTTTCACATGGCCCGAAGTAGTTGCATGCAGTGTAATGAAATGGTGGTCTTCAGCTTTGTGTTCAAACGCTCTTTGATTTAGCTAGTAGTATCCTTTATCCAGAATCGCGTCCCATTCGCTGCTGTCGTAGCAACACCACAGTATCCAGTCTCATAAACTTGTCAGGTAATCAGGTAGGAAAAATAATAACATCTTGGAAGCAGTAAAGGATAGGCTTGGTCGTATGATAGCCTCTTATTGCCGGTGCGTCAACACAGATTATACCATTTATCCTAGAAGAGTGACTTCTATTCTTTAAGTGCTTTCTGAGCCTCGACTATCCAATGTCGTTCTGCAACCATTAGCTCATGCACAGGTAGGTTACTGCCGTCAACACTGCATTTGGCTCTAGTATTAGTTATAAATCAGAAGTTTCTTTGGACCTGGCTTTAGCCGTTTCTAAATGTACAAGTGGATTATGGTCCGTGTACACAATGCGCTTGTTGCTGAGAAGATAGGAGCTGAATTCCTCAGTTACTGCCCATTTTAATGCAAGAAGCTCAACCTTAAAACTGGACAGGTCATTGTAGTTTTTCTCCGCTCCTCTCAGACCTCAGCTAGCATACGTAATGGGATGCTGTCTCCCAATCCTTTAAACAAAGCATCTACTTTGGGAACAAAATCCTGTTGGAAGTCAGGATAGGGCAGAACTTAATACAGTCTTCAGGTGCTCAAATGCTTCATTTTCAGTGTCTCCCCCCCCCCCCACTAATCCACAAACCCATTAATAAATCTCCTATAATAGGACGCTAGGCCTACAAATGAACTGACCTCCTTTCCTGGTGTTGGTGTGGGTTATTCCTTAATTCTGCAGACTCTCTCTTTTGTTACTTGCACCCTTTGCGCATTCACAATGTGCCCGAGATATTCTACCTGGTTCTGAAGTAAATCGCACTTCTTGCCTTTTAACTTTAGGCCACAATCTGCCAGTCTGCTTAAAACCCTCTCCAGATCCAATAAGTATTCTTCTATGGTCGAGGAGATCAAGATGTCATCTAGGTACAAGACAAGTTCCGTTAAATTCATGTCTGCGAATAACAATACCATTACTCTCTGAAAAGTATTAGCTGCATTACTTAATCCTTGAGGCATTCTAAGATACTCATAAAGGCCCCACAGCACCCTGAAAGCTGTTTTCTCGATAGATTCTTCATACATGACGACTTGGTAGTACCCGTGAGCCAGATCAAGAGTAGAGAAATACTTAGCCCCGCCTTAGATATCCAAAACCTTGTCTATGCATGGTAGGCGAAAAGAGTCTTTAACAGTAACAGCATTCAACTTGCAGTAGTCAATACACAGCCTGAGTGATACATCTTTCTTTGAGACAATTACTATAGGGCTTGCATAAGCACTTTTCGATGGTCTAATAATCTACTGATCTACCATCTCCCAGATCATTGCTTTTACTTCTGGCACTTTGTGCGGATGGATACGTCTGAATGGTTGTTGAATAGCTTTATTGATCGTCAGACTAATGGAGTGTGAAATAAGATCGCATTTCCCAACGTCATATAGTCCAGTTGAAAATGCACCAGAGTATCTGTATTTGTATTGGTAAAAATGTGCCTATGATTTGATAACTTTCAGTGGATATCCCCAGTCTCAGCGCAGCATTCGTAAGTGCACTTATTTTTTTGCAACATTTGGGAAAACTAGAAGTGTAGAGTTAAATACTGTAGAGTGTTTCAGATAGTCACAGGAGCACCTGGAAGTAAAGTTAATATAAGGGATCAGTACACTTTCAGTAGCTGAAAATATGCCTAAATGATTTCATTAAACAGTACAAATATTTTACTCTAGAATTTCCCAAATTTGCATTGCTATCAGTTTCGTTTTATCTAGGATCGTATTTGACCATCACCACCTTTAAAAAAGTTGGTCATGTTTAGACTAGCTTTGTTCATATCACAACTGTAAAGGGACTTTTTGTTGATA